CTAATACTGTAATTGCAAAAATTAATTAATCTACTCTTTCAACAAAAGGAAGTGTTGTTTCATTTTTAAAAACTTGTTTAACAACCATATACCAGCTGAGTAGCTGTTGTGTGGCATGCAACATAATATAATGTACATACATTATTATCTAATTTGCTTATTTTTAATGCTCTTAGATTTTTCTTCTGTTAATCACCGTTCAACTAGGTTATTCCCCAACTCTCTGAGATAAGTGAAATTCTCAAAGTTTTAAATTTGGATAATGTCAACTAGGTAAAATATTATAGAATTTTTAATTAAATGGAAATTCTATTTACCTGGTTCTTTCTCCTTCTTCAGTAGGAATGATTGAGATTAGAGAGAGATTGCTTCTCACCATCCGTACCTTTCTTTAGAAAAATAACAAAAAATAAAGTGTATTGATCCTGTAAGATAGTCATTTCTGCGTAGGACATATTGTATGTAAATTGATCACTTAGAATTATTATTTTCCTCTGATTCTTTTGCTTAATTCATGCTTGTTATTTGAGAATTAACTCAAATCCAGTGCCTTACAAAAGCTTTTCTTTGATTTCCTCCACTCCATTCTGAACGCCCTTCAGTGTGTATATGAAGTTTTGGCTCTATTGGTTAGCCCTTTTGTAGAGTCAGATTTACAGAATTTTAGAGTCGAAAGCCTCTGCAACCATCCAGCTCAATGCCCTCATTTCCGGTTGAAGAAAATGAGCCCCAGCCACACGGCTGGTCAGTTTGAGTCAGAATTACAACCCAGTGCAGGTTTTATTACCTTCAGTTTTGTAGTTTCTTGTTTTGTGTGTATGTTGGGTCTCCCCAGCTAGAAGATTTTTTTTTGTCAGGGACTGAGGTTTTTGGTTGTTGTTGGGGTTCCCCCCACCACCCCAGCCAAAGATTCTTCTGTACTTCTGTGTTCAGAGTAACTAGAATTCTTGGGAAAACAGCCTTTTGGAAGTGGCTGCCAGGAATAGGCAGTTATTCTCCGGTCTAGTGCTATCTTTTTAAAGTGTCTTCAGTTTTTATTTTAGCTTCTGAAACATGCTTCTGTAGTCATCTATTAGTAGAATTGGTAAGTGTTATCTATAACTCGGGTTTTGTATTCTCATAGTTCTGGCACGGAGACAGAACGCCTCTGTACGAGTGATGAGGTCAAATTGCATTTTCTCATTACTTGGAATCCTGTGATGAGGTGATGCAAAGCAAGGTGTGTATCTCCATGTTGGATAGGCTCTCCTAAGTTTTCTCTAAATCGTGTAGAACAGAAGAACTTACAAGAATTGTGTAGAGCAGAATCCCTCATACCTGGCTATCTATGATGATGACAAAACTCCTCCCATAGCCCCTGAATTGGGACCTCTGAGGTTGGGACCTGTGCATGTTGATGGTTAAGGAGCTCTGCAGTAGAGAACCACTGGCTTAGAAGAACGGCATTATTGAGCCGATGGAGGTCTCCTTTTAAGAGAAAAACTGTTAAGTTAGGGAGGAGTGCTGCTTGCGTGTGTGAACAGAATTCTTGTGGGAAGGTACAGACTGATCTCATGCATCATGAAGTTACTTGATTATCTATGGGATGTCTCTTTGGGGACCACATACTAGTTGAATAGCATCTACAAACGTTTGTAAACCCAGCAAGGAAGTGATGAAACCAGGACTGTGGCCCTGCTTCTGCAGTTCAGAAGTAACACCGTAAACCTATATTGATCCTAGAAATCTGCTATTAGAAACTGCCTGTTGGTCATCTTAATGAGTAGTGGCTGACCCAAGGTATTGAAAGTTGTAGTAAAGTTGGTTCTGTGGCTGGACATTATGGTGCTCATCTTACAGTTGTCTACCAATTAACTCTTCCTCTGCCTCAGTGCATTTCTTCAGTGTTAGATGTAATTGTGCACCGTTTATGAGGCCGCCATATAGGTGTTCCATTAAATATTACAGATATGTTAATAAAATAATATAGATATGTTAGAAAGTTATACAACACTCACGTGGTCACAGAAGTTTAGTTTATAGACATGGAGAATTGACAAAAGTCAACTTAATTTTTATACTTTGAACTTTTTTCAGCGTTGCTTTGGGCTAGGTGCTGTGGGTCATAGCAAAAAGCTGAGACCAACTTTTGGGCCAAGACATTTACTTTTCAAAGAAGGCAAAGTTGGAGAGACTGATGATTGTGATTTGAGAGTAATTACATTTTATTGATTATTTCTTGAATATAATGGGACAGAGAATGATAGTTTTTGTTTTTTAACTTGAGGAAGACTAACTCTAGAATTTCACAGATAAGGAAACTTAAAAAAAAAAGTGAAACTGTTCCTTAATAAAATTTAAAGCAGAAGGAACTTTATGTTCCCCTTACTAGTGGGTCACTACTAGATGCGTGTGTGTATGGACCACATGACATTTTCATTTATTCAGTGGAGAGTCTAGAGGGCCTGTGTTGAGTACTTGAATATTGGACATGATTCAAATGTGAGTCAAGTGTGTCTAGAGGCTTTATTCATACCTATTTTCTTTTAGTCAGCAATGCTTCATAATGCCCTGGTTTCATGAATTAATTTTAATGGAATTAAACTTGAACAGCTCAAAATTATATAATTAATTTCATTCAGCTTCAATTAAAGTTACTAATTGAATCAAGCCTACTAGCATGACACCTGGCGGCAGTTAGCTACATAACAGTAGCTGCAAGTATGTGGGACTCTGCTGCTGAGCTAGTTTATGTATACTAGTGAGTTTTTATAAAAAGCTCTTCTGTTGATAATCTCAGAAAGGCCTTGAGTTGACTGTAACAGTGGAAAGATTTCTGGAGTTGTTTAAAAAAGTAAAGATTTTAATTGAAACTAACACCTCTCAGGAAGATTACATTTTCTCTTGGATAATGCTGAGTAAATGTTACATAAATCTTCTAGAACATATTGGTTTAGCATGCTTCTGATTTATATTTTACTGCTATCTGAATATGGTTTTGCTTTCTGAAAATACTTAGCATTGAAGACCCTGCTTTTTTTCAGAGACTTTAGCCTCTGGATTTAGTTTCCTAAGAGGGTGTCCATCTATTTTCATGTGTTGAAATGTGTTTCATGGCAGAACTTTTCAATTGTTGTGAAATCCCCATGGTACATGAGAAACTTTTGCATGTGCCGAAATTTTTCCCTTCCACTGGAAATGTTAACACAGTTGACTAACAACTTCTGTTTGAATCTCTTTCCTTTCCTTGCTTCCATGGCTTGACATCATCCAGCTTCTCGTCCTTCTCTGACTCCTTTCTAATTGTACAGACCCCTCTTGGGACTCTTATTTTAATGTATTAACTCTTTTGATGGGCCCGTTCATTTAAATGGCTTTAGCAGTCAAGTTTAGGAAGATCACTGTTTCCAGCTATAACTTGATTTATTTATGATTTGCAAATTCAAATGTGCAACACTAAACACATCCACTAAACTGTAACGTCCATGAAGGCCTGAGCCGCATCTCACAATTCATTGCATCCTCATTGCCTAGCACAAAGCCTAAACATCTACTATGTACAGATAAATATTTTTTTAAACCAATAAATTATTCCCCTGGTCTCCAGGTTTTCCCAGTCAAATCCTTGACTGAGAGGGCTCTATCACCTCCAGTCCCATCTTCCCTGATTATCTGTGCAGAGCTCTAGTTACATTTTCACGTCTACCCCCTTTCCCCTCTTGTCATTCAGTTGATTAAACTCTGATTAAACTGCACTCTTCTCTCTTAGTTTCCCTTACTCTCTTCTCCCTCTTAGGTACATCCATACTCCAGTGATTCTCAATGATGTTAAGTGCAATAATATTACCTAAGTGCCCCACACCCAAATTGAACTAGAATCTTTGGTGGTGGGGCCCAGGAATCTTTTTTTTTTTTTTTAAAGCCCCCCAAGTGAGTTAAAACACAGTCAGGATTGAGACACTGCTGTGCACGAATGTATTAATCTTCCTAATGCTTAGCTCTGATAAGGCATTTCATAAAGCTTCAGTGGCTACTTTGACTTACTTGTCTTGCCTTTAAATTGGGTCCAGATTTCTCACCTTCGCATTCAAATATCCAAGCTATGTCCCTAATCAAACCTTTACAGTCTTACCTCCTGATGTCCCCCTTGAAGTATTTCACACTCCAGAGTGTTGGAACCTTTGCTTGCAGAGTTTCCCCACGCCGTTCTTCTACCAGGCATTGCCTTTCTCCCATCTCCGCTTTGAGAATTCTGCGAATGTTTTAAAGACCATCCAACATGCACCTTTCTCTCTAGTGCTTTTCTTGAGCTCTGAATTGGAATGAGTTTCTTTTTCTTCCCTCAAACCTCTTCAGTGCTCTGGACCTCTTATGACATGGATTTTACCTTGTGTTACAGTTAGCTTTTTGTTTGAGTTATTATGTTCCTGGTAAGATGTTACTTCCTTACTGGCTTTCCCCCGGAGGACCCATAAACCCATGTATGGATCTCCCATCCTCAGTAGCCTCCCTTTCCGAGAATGTGTAAGTCGTTGCCTCTTTCCTGAGTTTCCACAGAGAGAACTTTGCACTTGCTTTCTACACCTTCTCACTTCTCAGTCGCTCCTCATTCAACTGCAGTCTGACTTTTAGCCCAGCCGTTCAGTGGGGTCTCTTCTTCTTTGGTGCTTCCCTTCCACACCCACCCCCTACATGTACAGACTCACTTTCATCTTGTATGTGACCTTTGCACATGACTCTGTCATGGCAGACCACTTGGTGTGTTACGATGACTTAATAATCTTAACAGGTTATTTTTGTTGTACGCGTGTGTGTTTCTTCGATGCTGGTCACATAGTAGGGGCTCAGTAAATCTGTTACTACTTCAGTAACCTATGCAACAGTCAATAGAGATACTGCTCCCATTTTCTTAAGTTACGGCACACTTGGAAGCATTGGGGAAAAAAAAAACCCTTAAAATAAAAAAAAAATAGAGAAAAATATGTAACATTTAATAATAATATATCTTTTGTTTTATTTAGAAAAATGTGATAAAGAAAATACTGAGAGAAATATAGCTCAAGCTACCGATAGCTGCTTCACACATGGAGAGATGCAAGACCGGTCCATTTGGGGAAACTGTTCAGACGACGAACTCATCCGAAGTAAGTATTTTTAGAGAAAATCAGAGTGATTTGGGTATATGGCTATGATAATATGCTTTCAGTTAATTATTCCATATAATTCTCCCAGAAATCAATAAATCAACAGAGTTTATCTGCAAGTATATTCATGAGTATTTTAAAATGTAGAGCTAGGATATAAGTAATACCGTCTGTCCATTTTCATCCTTTTTTTTTTTTAAAGAAGAATTGACCTGTAAATTTTGGACTTTATTCTCATAGAGATATAGCTAAACTTAATTCCTTCTTTTTTTTTTTTAAGATTTTATTTATTCATTTGCGAGAGAGAGAGCACAAAGAGGGGCAGTGGGAGAGGGCGAAGCAGACTCCCCGCTGAGCAGGGAGCCCGACGTGGGGCTCGATCCCAGGACCTGTAGATCATGACCTGAGCCGAAGGCAGACACTTATCCATCTGAGCCACCGAGGTGCCCCTAAACTTAATTCCTTCTTGATCATTGATGAAGTAGAAGTCAGACAATTCTGAGTGGACTGTGAAACTAAAAAGATAAAGACAGAGCAAAAGGACAATAAACAGTACTTTGAAGGTTGATACCGTTCTGGTCCCTGTTCTTGTAGTCAAATGATTCTAAACTGTTGTTTTTTATTTTTTCATTTTTTTGTTTTTTTACAATTAACATTTTTAGCACTACTTGGTTTCTTTTTATTCTCTTCGTCTCCCTGAAAGTGCTCTGTAGAATATATACAAAAGCTTTGGTATATTTTCATTTGACTGTGGGAATGCCTGGCAACAGCAGTGTCACTGGGGTGTTATTCAACATGCTGATTCTGGGGACGCCTGGGTGGCTCAGTCGGTAAGTGTCTGCCTTCGGCTCAGGTCATGATCCCAGGGTCCTGGGATCAAGCCCTACATCAGGCTCCCTGCTCCGCGGGAAGCCTGCTTCTCCATCTCCCACTCCCCCTGCTTGTGTTCCCTCTCTTGCTGTGTCTCTCTCTGTCAAATGAATAAATAAAAATCTTCAAAAAAAGAAAAACTGATTCTGCGTCAGGTTCTACAGACCTGGAGCTTCCCCCCGGTGGGTTCAAAGAATGAATTATTCTCTCTAGTAAGCATCTAAGTATAAAGATTATTGCTATACTGTTTGGTGAAGCTCCATCTTAGTTACAGAATTCATACCATTAAAGGGAAAGGATTTAAAATGAATTCTTCTCCCTCTCGTTAAACTGGTTAAGTGGGCAGTGATAAAAGAAAAAAAAGGTACTGTAAATTGCATGAAATCGTTTCTTTTGAGATAAGGATGGTTCAGCCTGTACCATGGGACACGGGAGCATCTGGGAGCCACTGTCTAGTTTTACTAACACGCACTGAACGAACGCAGAGATGGAGCATTATGACCCCCTGTGGGAAGGCTGCTGGGAAAACGGATAGTCGAATGGATATCCAGAAGAGAAAGGCCAAAGACAGCAATGCCATGCCTGCCCAAAACGTACCTGGCAAGAATTTCCGAATATTTGCGGGTGACCTCGGACTCTGAATTCTGATTACAGATTTCAGAAACTGTATTTTTGTCTTCTTCCTGGTCACACTTTTCTAGGCAAAGGCGACTTTGTTGGGTCTCCAGAAAAATCTGATATCTGGATTTGCCAGAACGGAACGATTTAGGTCATCTTTAGACTCCACTCAAGTCTGGCTAGCACTTCAAGGTCTGACACTCTGATAGCTTCTGCTGTTCCAACTCCCTGACACTGGCCTTCCCAGAGCTGTCTGGATTTTCTTCTTTGGCCTTCCCTGTAGAGTAGGTGGTCGTCTCTGCATAAGTCACCGCCTGTCTCTCTCAACCCCACTGTTAGGGAGGTGTGTTTTCCTCTTGGCATCTAGCATATTTTGGGGAGCCCGGTAAAATCTTTTGTAATAACAATAGGCCCTGGAAAGAAGGCCCTGGCTCAGAGTTGCATGGGGGAGGAGGGGAACATCTGTGGTGAGTCAGGCCCGGGCTGGCTCCCATTCCAGGAGTCCTGTGTGGTTTCCCGAGCACTGGGGAAGGGGCGGGCAGCTGGCTCTCATGGAATCAATTTTAGTATTCCCACTGTAGTGCGAGGTTGGCTGGATGCAGGGATCATCAGAAAAATGAGCCTGGCCGGGGTGTGGGAACATTTTCAAATGCACAGCCCACTCTTTTTCCGAGCTTCCATGGGACGGCTCAGCTGCATAAGCAAGAAGTGGAAGACAGTGAGTCTGTTTAATAGGACTTTCTTTCTCTATCTATTCTAGAGCGTGGTTAGAAGGCTGGCAGCTAACATCTACGTTGTCCCGGACGCCTGCTGCTTTCTTTGTTGGACATTTGAGGTGTAATTTATAGGGGACTGTTAGCTGTCAGAGTGATGAGGCTGTTTTTACTTTTCTTTTCTGAGAATAACTGAGCTCTGGAAAGTCAAGGGAGTGGTTGCTTTGGAAATTGTATTCTAATTAAAGGGTGTATTCTCAGGCCTCATAAACGAGATCCAAGCTGAGAATAATTTCCAAATTATTCTGTGAACTTTAACCCTGACCTCAGTGGACCACCCACTTGTGGTTCACACTTGGTTCATGCTCCACACCGAAGTTCGAGCTTTGTGTGCCTGCCCTGGTCCTTGTAGAAAACATTGCAGGTGGCAGACCTCAGGTACAGTGCTCTCAGGGCCTGGATTTCAAATTGGTTGCCCTTGAGTTGCTAACTTATTACAGAGAATCCTTTCTGGAAGTTATAAATAAAAGAGAAGAAATCCATATGGAATCAAACATTTCGAATAAATAGGCCACACACAATCTGGTCAGGGAATGTGCATTGTGATTCTCTTTCTTATGAAATTTAAATTAAAAAGACAATTCCAACTGCTTAGTTTAAAAACAAAATCAGATCAGTGAAGAATTAAAAATGTAATGGAGGTTTTTGAGGAAATTTTATGATTGGGAGGTTTTATTTTTTCATCTTACGAATTTTCTTTTTACAGTTTAAAAGGGGTTTATATTCTGAGGAAATGCTTTGGTATATAATTTCTGGAATGAGGCTTAAATTTTAGAGTTTATAAGAGTATCTTTTTATGGGAACACCAGTTAAGACTTTGGCTCTTCCCCTTAGATGAGCCTATATGATTTGGTATATAATTTGGAGCGCTGCCTTGTTTTTATAATCCCTATTCCTCTGAATTGGTCAAATAAATGTGGCAGGGAAGTGACACCCTCAATTAATATTAATTTTTCTATTTAACCTATAATATGCATAAACTGATAACAGGCAATAGGCACCATTTCATGTTTTAATTAGACTAGAAAAGAAATAGAAGTACCATTTTGATCTTAGTCTTTGGGGGGATTTCTAAGGTAGGAAAGTGTGTGTGTGTGTGTTCCTATGTTTATACTCAGATATGTATAGTGTTTTCCTTTAATTTAGGTCAACCTCTATTCTAATTATTTCTATAGAGAGAGAGCTTACATTTTTCTTTGTTCTTCTTTCCAAAGTGCCTCAGGTCTCTCTCGCAGATTTTTCTAGGTCTTTCTGAAAATTCTTATTACTTAACTTTATCCTTGGACATTGCTTTTACATAAACGTCTCCTAATTCTAAATGTCACTACTTAACTCCAGAAATTTTCCTTAGCTCCCCTTCTGAAATAAATTTCCCATTAAATTAAACTATTTTGTTCAGCTAATTCTCTCCTTTGTGATTTTGTAGAATTCCCATGATCTGAAGCAAAGTTAGAATGCTCCACTTAAATGGTAATCCTCATTCTATTTAACCCATTTATTCATTCTGAAGAGTTTTTAGCTCTCATACTAGTAAGCACTTAATTGGTAGTAGACTGCAATCCTCTTCTCTAATTCACACTTGTCTCCTCCTTATGGAGCTAATGCTTCCTGGCTTCCTGCTGTTTCACTTGCCCTGCTGCTGGAAACCTTCCTCTTGGCGTCCTTGGAGTTTCCTCTCAACATCACCAGGCTTGGTTCTGAGGAGCTCTATTCCTTCTCTTCCAAGACTTTGCCAGCTTACCTCTGATCACTCCTTAGTGAATATTACTTTATCACTTGAAGGAATGCCTCCTTTATGTCAAATACTGAAAAAAGGCAGAGACTCAGGCATACTCTTTATATACTGAGAACATTTCTTATTTGATGATAAGGAAAGAGCATGAGAGATTTGGATTTAAATTTCTAAAGCAGTTCTCATGTTTGAGTGCACATTATAGTTAATATTATTACTATTAATTCTTTTAGAATTCACTTTATATAAAAGAGGACATAAACAAGCCCCGGAAATAAGTATTGCCCAGTAAGACTGGGGGCGGGGAATGTAGCTTTCGTGTTATGTTTCTTAGGTGATCTGGAATTCTCTCTCAATAGTGCATGCTGACTCATGCTGGGATCCCATATTGGGAGTAAGTCTTTGTGACTTCATCTTGCTCAGTATCTTTTCCTCCATTTGTCTCTCAGAAAAATTCTCTTTTTTAAAAAATTCGCTGACCAAATGGTTATGTGGCTACAGTTGAGATGCTTTGATTATTGCTGTAGAGAAGAATCGTTAACCATCCCGTTATTCCAAAATCCAACTCATGATTTGGTTTCAGGTCATAAGTTATTTTTTGATGGTTACCTGTATTTATCTCATTGGCCAATGACCATGATTAGGCTGCATTCTCGAATGGAACGCAAGTTTACTGACACACTTCTTCCTTAGGGCGCATTATTCCAAGCTCATCTGGGTTTTGGTCAAGATACTAGAGAGAACCATTGCCCATTGTTTTTGGTTTGAGCAACTTAAGCTCAGGGTCCTGGAAGCTGACTCTCCGGTTCGGATCCTGGATACATCATTATTGCTGGTGTTGGGCAAGTTAAGCTCTGTGATCAAATTTCTCATTTTAAAATGAAGGTGCCTGGGTGGCTCAGACGGTTAAGCGTCTGCCTTCGGCTCGGGTCATGGTCCCAGGGTCCTGGGATCAAGCCCCACATCGGGTTCCCTGCTGAGCGGGGAGCCTGCTTCTTCCACTCCCC